CAAGGAAACACCGACGCCTTGACAAAGGCTTGGACAGAACATCTCTTGCAAGAGCCTCTGAGTCGCAGACAGGTCCAGGCCAAGTGTGCACTTGTCGCAGGAGCTGGGGAGATGTCCCTGGGCCGCGCGCGCTCCCAGCCTTTGTCTCCGCGGCGCTGGGGTGGCCTCCCCGCGGACCCGCCCCAGCCCGGTGCTCACGTGGCCGTAAATAAGTCAAAGGGGGGGTGGGGAATGCCCAAGGAACAAAGACTTGCTTTCTGCACCTGACAGTGACCCGCGGTGGCGAAACCCGTAAATCCCGCAGGAGATTCGCAGGGAAGGGGGCGTGGGCGGCGCGTGTGAGCCCGTGTGTGTCCCCGCCTGCGTGCCCGCGCCTGCGCGCCCGCGCCCTGAGGGGCCCCGCAGCTCAGGACTGAATGGGTTTAAGCCAAGAGCCGCTTTAATTAGGATTGCGAATGCCTGATGTTTGAAAGAGACTAATTTTTTTTAAAAATCCTCTCTCCTCAACTCGGGAATCTGCCGTCAGTTGTGTGAGTTTCAGTAAATGAGATTTAAATTTTGTATTTATCCAGTTCCTTCGTAAGCACCCTGGATAATTTTTTTTATTTTAATTTTTGGTATTGTAAGTGTGTGGCCATTCTTTACCGACTACAGAGAAGATAAAACTTGTCTCAATTAGAATGCAGGCTGGAGGTGGGGCCCTTAATCAGTTTACACAGGATGTTGGTGAAATAAAAAGGCATTTGGAAGGAAGACATTGTTTGAATGTAATTTCCAAAGTTAATTTAATTAATGAAGGCATGTCTGCTGGAGTTGGAATGGGATTGCCCAAGGAGAGATATTTTATTTATATTCTGCAGTAAACCTCTGGGTGAAAATACTTTAAAAATTCACTGTGACAAGTGAATCCAACTTCTTTTTCATCGGGGAGTCTTTAGACCACCTTATTAGTCACTGTCGGGCCTGGCAAAACCTATGTTCTTGTTTAAGAACATTTCTCTCCAATTAGGAAGTTGTGTGATCTGGGAATTTAAAGCCCAGAGTAGGATCCCCGGAGAGGACTGTGGCTTCTATTCTGGTTTTGATGCCAACCTCTGACTCACTGCCTGTCCCAAAGTGCCTGAATAAAACTTGCCTGAAAATCATTATTGAATTAGCCAAGGTGGCAGTGGTGAGAAAGGTCCCGTGGATCCCTCTTTTCTGAGCAGAGAGAGGGTGCCTTTCTCATCACTCTCAACTGGGACAGGAATTATCCAGTCTGCATTTTGTATGGACCTTTGGCTGGGCTTCTTAGATCAGATGACAGGGAATGGGAGGCTCGAAAGAACTGGTAGTGAGAATCCTCAAAGAACTGCAAGGCTGTCTCGTGCTCCTCAAAGCGAAGAAGTCTGTATCTACTGTGTCTTCTTAAGCAACAGGTGTCAATGGAATTGAGGAATGTGTGTCTTTCCCTGCCCACCTCTGGTCATCAAGTCAGGACTCAAAGCAATGGTGAGTCTGCAACATTTAGACTGAAAATCATCAAACAACCTCAGAAACATAACCTGAAGGTCTTTCTAGTCCTTCCTTTGTCACAGATCTCTTCAATAGCCTCCATTTATTTTCCATGGATGTTACTATACCATAGAATGAAATAAAATGCTAGGTTTCTCACCTAAGGTCTCTGCAGAAAAGTTTAATACGTTGCTTCATTCACTACTTTATTTGAAAACCATTTAATCTAGGCTATGCCTCCATCTCACTTAGTGATCTTGAGCAAGACAATCTTCCTGGGCCTCAGTTTCTTCATCTGCAAACAAAGAATTTGGGCAGGACAGTGTCTCAGGTCTAGTCTGTTTCCAACACTGTGTGATCTGAGCAGGAGAGCTCTCTATCAACCCCAAGCCTGGGCTCCACCAGCCGTCTCCCCTTTCTCCCCATAGCCAGGCGCACTAAAATGCCAGGACACAAAGACCAGCCTCAAACTCCTTTCTCTTTCTGTCCCTCTCTTGCTCACTCATGGGGAACAAATTTGGTAGTTTTTATTTATCTGTTTAGTCAAGCAATAATGCCCCACACAAGTTCTTCAGCTTTTCAAAATCAAATTTTGGAAGCAAATACTTCTTCTCCAAACAGAAGGTAAAATTGGACCCAGCGGCTTGCTGTTGTTTGGTTGGTTTGTTCGTGGTTTTTTATCACTCTAGCTGTGAATATTTTCTTTTTTATTCAACAAACATTAAATTCGATGGGGGAAAAACATTTGTCTGAAACATTGTGCCTTCAAAGAGTTTATAATCTAGTAGGTCTGCTCAGGGTGTGATTGCCATGGTATGTTATGGGGTACAGGCTCTAATAAATGTCATTAGGGAAAAACAAACAAAATGTTAGGGGGATTCAGTTAAGACAGGAACTGAACTGTGTTGTGGGATTAAAGAAATGAAAGAAAAAGTCTGTTGTGAATAAAAGGCATTTCATCTACTTGCATGTTACCCTTGACTTTTTTAAGGGTCCTTATTATTTTTTTTAACTTTTTCCCACCTCTGATATTCATTCTGTCCTTGTGCCTTACATCTTTTCCTTTCATTTGTTAGCTTCTCTCTTCCCCAGTGGTTTTGCCTGCTAAAAATAGATGAACAATTGGTCTGAAGCTGCAAGGAAGCCAAGATGATGCAAAGGCTCTGTAGAAAATCTATGCCATGGACCCTGAGCTGCGAGATGACCTAGATGCGAGATGACCTAGGTGTGGGCCCAACTCTCTAACTGTCATTGTCACGTTAAGCAGGTCAGTTGTTTTATACTTTAATTTTACCATCTGTAAAGCTAGAAAAAAAATAATGTAATTTTTTTTTTCAGGACAACAAAAATATCTGTGTCATTGTTCCAAGGATACAGCAATAAACCTTCCAAACCAAATGTTGGAGTGTGAGGTCAGAAAAGATTTGGGACTTGTGAAATTATTTAGATAAAAATTCTTACTAAGAAGTAAGCATTAATTCACATTGTTTATGCATATTCTAAAACTTTTATTGAAAGCAATAAAACAACCCAAAATTAAGACTATCAAAGAAAATCTTGGGCTTTGGGGCATTATTTCTTCATTGATGAAACAGTAAAAAACAAATTTATAGAAAACCCCTGTGGTGCTGCCTGTTTGCTAGCGCAGCCCCAGGTCATCATTATCCTCCTCTGTCCCCTCCTGCACACAGTCCTTCCTGCCTGAGAAGTGCGAGGAGTGTATGTCCTGCCTTTCAGATGTTTCAGCTATTCCTCACCTCCACATCCTGGCCTCACTGAGGTCTTTTTGTGTAATGGTTGGTTAATTCTCATCATAACTGTAGGGAAGGAAAAAAATCTTCCGATACCCCCTTAGGTTTTTACCTAGGACCTGCAAATTAAACTGACAGGTAAACAGGAGGAAAATTAAACAATGTGAATTGATGTTAATTTTTTTACATATGCACAGGGACTTCAAGGAAAAGAAATGAAAACCCAAAGAAGTTGTTACACTTAGGGGCTTACTTCCCATTTTAACAAAGGGCAATGAAAATGTCAAAAATCGACTAGACACAAGAAAGGGGCTTTGGGAGTCTAGAGCTGAAAAATTATGGGAAGGTGAATAGAAAATAAATGGGGAAAACTACTGGTACATAAGGGTTATTTAGTAAGGTTTATTTGTGCAGACTCATCTTGGTTCAGTCACTGTCTCTGGAGACACCTGCCCAAGGAGAATTTATGGCCTGCTTTTAAGCAGATGGGGAGGGTGGCAGAGAGCTCTTCTTATGTCTGCTTTTCCTAATTGCCTTTACTTCAGAATAATCCTTAAGCCAGGGTGGCATATTCTGATCCCCTTTATGACCATATCACAGCCTGGCCAGGTGTCAGCAGTGCAAAGAGAGGTGTTAGAGTTTCAGCTTGAGCTTTGCTTGAATGAGGGGCAGGTCCCATCCAGCCAACAGTGGCTTTAGAAAGCCTGTAACCCTTTAGAAACCTGAAGTCCTTACATCTGAATTTTTTAGGTAGACAGAAGGGGCCAAGCACTAACAATTCATAAATATTCATTTATAACTATTTTAGCAAAATAACAAAAGGCCTTTAACACTGCACGAGATTGATCAACTCACTTCAGTTGAAAGAATGGTTTCCTGAAGTCAGGGTAGGAAACGGCTTTCCCAGCTGCATGGAATACTCAGATTCCAGCTTTGGAAGGAACAGAAGGAGAAGCAGAGGTGAGGAGGGGCAAAGAGACCCCACCTTCTACCTCAGGCTCCTCCGTGGGCCATTGCGATAGGACAGCCACAGAATGACAGGCCTGCCTGCTCAGGCACCCCCAGTCCCACATCTGCCTCAGTCAGCCTGCACCAGGAAGCGCCTCCTCTGATAGTGTAAATTTTCCTCTAGATAATTTAATGTCCTATCTAATTCAGTTTTTGTCTTTTAAATTTGAGCTATCTGGAATCAACATACAAAGGAATATAGCGAAATGTGTTCTGTTCTTTTCCAGATAAGAACTGTAGTCTCTCTACCTTTTCTGTTGGAATTAGCATAACAATCCACAGGGTTTGCTCACTGAGGGAAATACCTAGGGCCCTCTTTAAGCAGTGGTTAATCCATCCTGCTCTTTAGCCCATGCATTAGGGGTTAACTAATTAGCACCCAGCCAACTCCATTTTTCATCTAATATACCCCCACTCCAAACTCTAAATCCCAGTGTCCTGCGAACTTTATGTCAAACAGTCTTGAATCTCCCCACCAAGCAACAAGATAACAAGGTCTGTCTTCTAGGCGATCAAGGCCCCTATTTCAGGGCCCTTTTGGATGCCGCCCTGAGTCTGAACCCTGTCCTCTCCGGACCTGGGTTTCATTTGGTGCAATGAAAGTGGACACCGGTTTTCAGTGCTGGCTCAGCCATTTAGCAGCTGGGGAGCTTTGGGTAAGTTCGGACCTTCACTTTCCACATCTTTTCAATGTTCATGTCATCTGCCTAGCAACACTATAAGATTTGCTCTTGGATCTTGACAAAACTTCTACAATCCTCAGGCCAGAGCCATGCACAGAAGCTTGGAACAGAGATCTGTAAACTTGTTAATTATCATGACTGTGCTCAGAAGAAATACCAAGAGCCCTTCCACCTCTCCACCCGCATCCCCCAGCCCCGCTGTTCCATTTGTGCCCTCACACTGTTTCAGACACTCTGTAGGCTTTACCTGTTTACCACACCACCACTGCTGCTGCTTCTCTGGCCACCATTTCCTGCTCCTTTCATGTGGTTTTGCTGTTTGCTGCTGGGGTACCCAGGGCTACAGCTGCTTCTCTGGAGAGACCCATCCAGATCCTCAGCCTCTCACTAGTCCACCCAGCCAACTGCCCTGGGGCTCCCCGGGCTCCCTGCACAGTCCAAGAGCTCCAGGCACTTTCCGGCCCGGTCCCAAACAGGCAGCATTAATCCTCTCGTGTTCTTTGCAGGGAACTTCTGACCAAGCTAACTGCTTCCGCTCAACTGAAACACGCAAGGGTGGTCACACTGAAATGCGCTGATGTGTCTAGATGACTGTTCAGAGCAGAGCCCAAGCTGAAGGGTGCACTTCCTGGCCTGAGGCATAAACACCACATATATTTTTTCCCTTTCAGAACGGCTATTTTTCAGGCTTGTAATGAAGTGTGGCCAGAATTTACTGTCTTCTAGAATCTTAGGTCAGGCAGAGGTTTTGCCTTCTTTTGTTTTATACATGTGAATAAAAATAGAGTAAACAAAGCACACTGTTAAATATTTTACACATACGTCAGTAGATGTGATTCTAGAGCAGACTTCTTCCGAGGTATTTGTGGTTGGTTTAAGGGTTACGAAAAACACAGAAATAGTTTCTAAAAATGATCACGAAGTTATCAGGTTTGAAGAATAACATACTGCAGAGTGCTAAAAATATAGATTTTTTTCAGTCTTACTTAGGAGGGCTCCTGTTTTCGTGCCTTTTCTTCAGTTAACAGAAGAATCAAGAGAAATGTTGGGGACGGACTTAAACTTCTCCTGTAGGGCAGCTCTGGCAAAGGCCCTTCCCCTATGTGAGATTCCCCAAGGCCTTGCCCTGCAGAGATGAAGTGTGTGTGCATGTGTGTGCACATGTGTGCGTGTGCTCACACACACACATACATAAATGCATGTATGCATATACATACATGCGTATATACATACATCTGTGTATAAAATTTACTTTTTTTTCTGGAAACATCTATTTCCTCCCCCCCATTTTTGTAAACCCCCTTTGTTCCTCCCCACCCCTTCCAATTCAAAGGGGCTTTCTCGCCCCCACTTTGTGTGTGTTAATTCATCTTTACTTGCGACAGGATGTATTAAAATTAAATGCTCAAAAAGTTCAGAGACTGATTTTCTTCCACCTCCAGTGTGGGTTTTCTCACCGCTGATGCATCTTCAGTTAGTTATGAGCGCAGAAGGCCAGCGTCGGTCACTGCACAATGATTGACAGGCGGGAATGGGGAGGACTAGGCATTTCCAAGATTGAGGTATCTTGCGTTTCCCTGTGATCATTGCAGAAGAAAAGCAGTTGCTCAGATTAGGGCACAGAAACAAGCGCCCGGCACCCCACCTGGTCAGTGCCTGAAGGCCAGCTGGGCCTGCAGTCCTGGAGTGCCAGCGTCTGGCCATCTGACCCTCTCTTGCACTCCTCCATGTCCTGCTTTGAGGGGAGGCAGAGGTGGTCATTGCCATAATCATTACCATGGAAAGAGCTGGCAGAGCCCTATGCCATACGCTGAATCTGTAGCCAACCTGTACCATTAGTTAAGGGTTCTGTGGACACCAGGAATTCCTCAGCCTCCCTGCCGCCCTCCTGGGTGGGACTCCCCTCTGAAGATGACTCAGAGCGAAATACCTGCACAGGGTCTAGAAAACAATGAACACTTTGTGATAGGGGACTCGTCTTAGTTTGCTCTGGCTGCTGTGACGAAGGACCATAGATAGTGGATTAAACAATAGAAATTCATTGTCTCACAGTTCTGGAAGCCAGAGTCTGAGATCAGGGTGTTGGCAGGGGTGGTTTCTTCTGAGGCCTCACTCCTTGGTTTGTAGATGGTGGCCTCTCTGTGTCCTCACATAGCCTTTCTTCTGTGTATCTGAGTCCTAATTTCCTCTTCTTATAAAGGCACCAGCCGTATTGGATTAGGGCCCACGCTAATGACCTCATTTTAACTTAACTTGCTCTTTAAAGACCCTGTCTTTACATCACATTCTGAGGAACAGATGAGTTAGAACTTTAAGGTGTGAATTTTAGTGACAAACCAGAACTTTCCCCAGAAAGAGACCTGAACCCCTCACCATTGTTCTTCCTGACATTCTTTCCCTGGGAGGTAGTTTCGTGAGTTGGAGAGACCATAGGTTCTGAAGTCAACGGAAGCTGGGTTTGGACCCCAACTTGGCCCTTTCTAGCAGTGTGACTTTAGGTGGGTTTCTTAACATCTCTGAGCCCTGGTTTCCCCTGCTGTGAAACAGCGACAAAATATACACACCTCAGGGCAAGCCCAAGGATTCCATGAAATGACATACAGGAGTCCTGCATGGCACCTGACTCAATACCCAGTTCCCCTAAACTTCCTCTAGACTCAGTGCTTCTCTGAAGTCACCAAGGACATGGCCATCCGGAGGTGCATTTATTTCTTATCAGGTGAGCAACTGCCTGCTGGGTGAACCACTTATGCCCACCTCATGACATCTCAGAACCTCCAGGGAAGGGTGTTGGTCTCCTGGGGCCCTTCCTGCTCCCCTTCCCCCAACCCTCCATGCACAGCTGAGCCTGCTTTGTGCTCCTCGACCTTCCCTACAGCAGCATCTTCCCCTGCTGGGCTGGGTAGGGGCACAAGGGAGCCTCTTCTCCAAGGGCCCTTATCCCAAGACAAGCAGGGGGAAGGGCAGGGGCAGGGACAGGTACCAAAGCAAAAGCCACTTCCAGTGATGAGCAGTGTCCCAGACTGGAGAATGACCCATCAGCCTGTTAGGAGAGTCAGGAGCCATTGCTAAGAGCAGTTGCAGACAGTGAAGAGGGAAGGAGGCGGGAGGTGCCAGATTTGCTGGGAGAGCTTGGCTCTCCTTGGTCTAGATGGCAGCGTGTGGAGTCCCTGAAGACATGGACAGAGTTTCTCAATCCGAGGATTGTTGCTGGGCTGCCAGAGTCAGTGCCTTCAAAGGGCCACCCCCACATCTCTCCCATGCTCCCCATCCCATGAGGTCGGGGCTCTGGTGGGCAGCACCCTCTGGCAAACAAGTGACCAGAAAGAAGAGGTCAGTCACCTGAAGGGCTTTGCATGGGGGCAGCTGGCCCTTGGGTGGCTGGTTTCTCTCCCCTCTCCCTGTTGCCTTTTTCCCACCCTTTCACTGCTAGTGCCCATCTTCCCCAGAAGGTGCGAGAAGGGGAAGAGGTTGCAGAGAAGCGAGCTTGTTTTGCTTGGCAGGGGAAGCTGAGTTATCTGGGTATTGTGTACTCAGAAGCACCCCCTTTCTTCCCAATGCAACAGAAAAAGAGAAAGGTTAAATAAGCACTGCCCATTCAGTCTGAGAGTCTGCCTGAAGCTTGCTGGGGAGTGAGGAAGGAAAGACTCAGTAAAGAGGGGGCTTCCCAGCCTCCCCTCACATATCCACTAAGACACAGATGTCTCTTAGCCCCTCTGGCAAGCCTGGTTTGGTGGCCTTACCCTGGGTCTGCCCAGGGCCAAGACCTGGCCCCTCCCCATGATTTCTGCTTCATATCTCTCCTGGGCCTTCGCTCTTGCTGCCTGAATCTTGTTTCCCTTGGCTGAGGCTGGTGGTGGGGCTAGATGCTGCTCATTGAACCCACCTCCCAGGTGAAGGGCTGCTTCACCTGACTGGACCAAGAGACCCTGCCCTCTCAGAGTGACCTCTTTTGCATGTCAGTGCCGGCTGGGGGACTGTTGGATCGGCCACGCTGTCCACTGACCACTGGAATCTGTACTTCCTGCCCTTCCCTCCTCCTCTACCCAGTGGCCAGCTAAACCACAGTGGCAGGCTGGCAGCCTCCTGGCTGAGCCCCCAGACTTAAGATCTGGGATAGTATCAGCATAGGAGATACACACAGCAGTGGGCTGTAGACTGATCGGCCTCACCTAGAGTGGTCTGTGACTTCTCCTGCCCTCTTCTGTGACCACCTCCCTGGCAGCCTGCTCACCTGCCTCATGGTCTCCAAATTCTTTCTACTTTCACTACCTCTCACCCAGATATTGTGCCAGTCTCCTAACTTGACCCCCGCCTCTTCCTGCTGCAGTGAATCCTACACACCCCTGGACTGAGCTTCTTAAACACAGCTGAGCATATTTCCTGATTACAAATGGCCCTATTGCCGGCCACTTTCAAGGGCTCTGCAGCAGAGCCTATACCTCCTCCCCCAACATCTCCGACCCTTTGTCTGGAATCACCCTTTGGCCTGTGTCTTCCCTGGACGAGCTCTGTATTTGCTTTCCTGTATTTGACTCACACTGTTCTCTCTGCCCCGAATGCCCTTCTCCTGGATCTCCCGAGACGGTCTGAGAAGGATCTTGCCAAGCTGTGAGCTTGCACATGGGAATGTGCCCTCTGTGTGATCCCCAGCCCCCTCCCACCAGGACCTTATGCAACCCATCCTGGATCCGCTTCAGAATTGCCCCACGCCCGAGTGATGCAAAGCCAGAAAAATAACCCATCTCAAGGGAGACGTCACACTTCACTTTTGAATCAGTTGGAAATTTAGACAAAACTTCTTTTCCACATTATCTCTGTCCCTTTCACTTTCAGTTCACCGAGACTCACTGTCCTCTCTTAAACAGTGTGACTCTCCTTGCCTGGCAAGCAACAAACTCATGTCTATGCATTTAGACGAAATTGGTTATCTTGGTTCCATGGCACAACCAAATTCTCTGTTTCCTTGGTTTTCCAGCCCAAAGTAATCTTCTTTCGTTTTGAATTCCTTCATCGTTTTGTCTGTTCCCTTGAAGTACTTCTTTATCTCTTTTCATTGATTCATTAAACAAATATCCAAGCATTGTGTTGGTTTGTTTTTTAACCAAGCACTGTTATTTACCCTAGGTTATGATCATGAACCAAACAGACAAATAACGATAAAAACCCCTGACCTCATGGAGCTTACATCATCTACAGGTAGAGACAGACAATAAACACAAAAAAGTAACATAGGCAGTGTGTTGGGTGTTGAGTATAGGTCATGGAGAAAATGAACACAGGCACAGAGCTACGGAGCCCGGGAGGATAGTAACAATTTAAAATACTGTGGTCTTGGAAATTTCACCCAGCTGGTCTGGATATGCTCAATTCTTAGGATCTTTTGGGTAAATATTGGAAGCTACTAAGGTTGAGGTAGGTGAGAGTTGGCCACTCCCCCATGTCCCCATCAGGGAAGAATCAGAGCACATCTCAAACCAGATTCTGCTTATGATGTTTATTAACCAAATAATTGTTAGCAAAGCAGGCCCAAATTTGCTCACACAGCCTGTTCTGAATTTCGACAGACCTGTCCACGTTTCCGAGGTTCTGTGC